GCAGTGGTGAGATTTCAGCTCACTGCAACCTCTGCCTCCCAGGTTCAAGCAATTCTCCTGCCTCAGCCTCCTGAGTAGCTGGGACTACAGGTCTGCACCACCATGCCCAGCTAATTTTTGTATTTTTAGTAAAGATAGGGTTTTACCATGTTGTCCAGGATGGTCTGGATGTCTTGACATCTTGATCTACCCGCCTCGGTATCCCAAAGTGTTGGGATTACAGGTGTGAGCCACCGTACCCCGCCTGTGCATGCCCTCCCTCCTTCTCCAGCCCAGTCCAGGGTTGGCCCTGGGTCTGAAGGTGCTGTAACCCAAGAGACAGAACTCTGTGGTGGACAGCCTAGACCTGTGACCTTGGCTGAGAAAGCTTTTTTTTTTTTAAATAAAAGACAGGGTTTCACCATGTTGGTCAGGCTGGTCTTAAACTCCCGACCTCAGGTGATCCACCTGCCTTGGCCTCCAAAGTGCTTGGATTACAGGCGTGAGCCACCACGCCCCGCCAGAAAGCTTCTTTATCTCCTATCTCTGGCTGCAAACTGCAACTGTGGAGGGTGCTCCTTCACGCTTCATTTGGCGGCATAAAGATAAAAGCAAGTTGGTGAGTATAAACGGCCTGGGCTCGTCTGGAAAAAGGTTCTCTGGAAACTCAAGGTATTCTAGGGAGACTTAAAGGCATCAAAGCCAGTTTTCCTTTCGTTCTGCAGCAGGCATTCACACAGGAACTATGGGGAATCACACAGGCCTGTACATATTTTACACATGAGTCCAAAGTTGGGTGTAAAATTTCTATTGTGCTGAATATTGTGGGAAGCAGCATGCAAATGCCTCCCCCTGCTACTCACAAACCAAACAGCTCTGGGCCACCTAAGCAGTGGCCAGATCACCAACCTGGCACCTGTGGGCCAGTAGGGCCCCTCGCCTTAAGAGTTCTAACTACCATCAAAGCACTTCCCGGCATTAAGTAATTGGAACCTCCAGTCCCTTGGGAGACTGGTGGGCCAGTGGTTATTACTCTCATTTTGCACGCAAAACAACTGAACCCCAGATGACCTACCTGTCCGGGGAACAATGCTACTGACACAGTGACAAACATTAAGTGCTGACTCAAACCTGTCTCCAGCCTCCAACTGCTGCTTTCCACTACAATCCAGCTGCCCACAAACTGAACACAGACTATCCACTTTGGCCTAATACCACCTCATTCTCTTTCTCACGCTCCCTGGCACACACCCTACGCCCCACAGTGCACTTAGGAGTTTTTCCAGAAGCTGCCTCTTCTCCCCACCTCCCAATACTTGCCCCGAACTGGAGACCTCTGGAACACTTATTCCTCCTGCACACATAGCAGCTTAGACTCAAGTTTAGATGCTGTCCCGCCCAGGCCAACTGGGCCGCCTCCCTTTCAGACTTTCCAGCCAATTCACACACGTGCACACTGCACATATTGCTGGTGAAAAGGATACACCCTAGACCCTTCCACGTCTTCTTTTCACATGGAGCCGGTCAACTGCACGTGCAAGGATGGGCACAAAAACACAGGTGACAGGGCCTACAGAGCCATGTTGTCACAAATACACAGATATGCCCAGGGAACACGGGGACACCCCTGCACAGGCAGACAAGCCCTCTGAAAGCCAGGCGCACCAGATACAGCTGCTGCCGGCACTTAACCCCTGCGTACCCTGCCAAGTCCCCCCCCCGCCACGAGCGTCTTGCTAAGACAACTCTGGGTCTGTCATCTTGGTGTCCGCATGAGCGGCCGCTAGGGTGGACAAAGAATGACATTTTCAAGAGCACAGACATACCTCAGGCACGTTGGACGACACGAGGCCCTCAGAGGCCCAGAGCTCTCTCCCAAAGCACAAGTGCAGAAAGCAGAGTCGGGAGCGTAGTTACGGACGCCGCGCTGAGCGTCCCGCGCCCCGCGAGCGTCCCAGGCGTTCCTGCCTCCTCCACTCCTCATCCCCAGCCGGCTTCCCTCTGCCCGCCTGGGGGAAGCTCGGGACAGTCTAGCTCGGGACCTCGGGCGGGGCGGGCAGCGGAGGCGGCGGCGCCTCTCCAGGACCCCAGCCCTCTCCCGCGGTGCCCCCACTACCCCGGCGCGCGTCTGCACTTACCCAGCCCGGGGCTCCGGACGCGGCGGCGGGAGCAGCGCCTAGAGAGGCGGAGAGCGGCGGCTCCCGGGGCCGCCCAGCCGCCCACCGCTGGCTCCCAGTGCTCGTCCCTCCCAGCCGGGGAAGGTCAGCGTGCGGACAGCCCGGCCCGCGCCCCGGCGCCCACGCAGGCTTCCTGCGGCCCTCGCGCCTCCCCCGCCCGCGCTCGCGACGCCCCGGCGCCGGCTGTCCCAGCCCCGCCGGCAGGACGAGCCCAGGAGCCCCGCACGCGAGCTGCAGGCCCTTTGTTTGGGAGTTGGGCTTTCTGCGATTCAGAGCACGCGGAGGGAATTAAGTCAGAGTGCGAGGCAGTTGTTTGGTTGCCCGGGGAATCCCTGCAGGGGGCGGCGGAGCGGCTTTCAAACTCCCGCCCTCCTCAGCTCCCGGCTTAGGACTCCCTGCCGCCTACGTTTGTTGGCCCCTGGGAGAGGTTGGCCTTTGGGGGTTCCTAAAGCCTGTCTGGTAGGAGAGAGCCTCTCCATTCCCTTTCGTCACCACCCCCATCACTGCCCTGTCCCTCTCAGAGTCCTGTGGACCATCAGCTTTACATTCTCTGGGCCCTGGGGAGAATCAAGGTCTCTCTATTCTGAAGCTAAAAGGAAGAGCAAAGAGTAGAGGCCATCTGTCCCTGTTGTGCCCAGATGGAGGTGCAAAGCTGGCGCTAACTGGACCGGCCCTAACAGTGGGGCATGCACTATGTGTTTCCCAAAGTAACAAGGGCCTCGTGCTTATCCAACAGAGTTCTTTTGAAACTCAGCTGCAGTGAGTAAGACTACCTATTTAGCAGGTTGCTAGATTAGGGAAGCCACGGGAGGCAGGGAATGCTGACAAAGCCACTGCACCCGGAGCACCAGTGTTCTAAATACCCGGGCTGGCTGCTGAGAAGAGCTTCGCAGAGGGGCCTCGCGGAAAGGAGATGATTGCAATAGTCCCGGGAGTTGAAGACCCTAACTGTGGGATCAGTGAAGAAGCGGTGGCAAAGAAGCGTCTACAGAGCTTGCTGCGCGTGGTGCGGGAGGAGCACACGGGCTGTGAGACTGGAGGAGAACCTGGAGTGATTTGAGCCTGAGTTTAGTGTGGGGCAAGTTGGTTTGGAGAAGAAGCCACCTTCTTCCAGGGACAGAGATCCAGCAAATGCAATTGGAAAGGTGATTCTGGGGTTCATGGGAGAGGCTGAGGCAAGAGTTGCCAATTTTGGAATAGTCTGGAAAGAAGCTGGGCAGACACGAGAGGTGGAAGGAGAGGGTAGAAAAGGTAGAGAGAACAGGGCTGAAGACCGAACCTCGGTCTACGGAGAAGGAGCCCACGAAAGGAACGGAAACCATCAGGAGAAACCATGAGGGAGGGTCAGGACTGTGCGGGGTGACAGGGCCCAGGAGTAGAGGGACGTTCAATGAGGGCCCGGGCTGCAGGGACACCAAGAAGGAGGACGCCCAAGAAAACAGGTTTAGATTTACAAATTAGGAGATCTCTGGGCAAGGTCGAGATAACTATGTGTGTGATGGGTTGTATAAACCAGGTTGCCACTCCTTCGCGGGGGGGAGGTGGGGGCATCTGGATCCAATTGGTTGATGCGGGGATACAAAGGTTCATCTCTTTCCTTCCATTAGGGAGGGTCCTGAAGGGCCACCCCAACTCCATAGCTTCCCAAGGGATCCTCGGAGGCCTCTGTGGAAAGCAGCACCGTTCAAGCTTATGTTCTGCCGAATCCTGCTTCCCTCCCTCTCTCAAGGTGTTGTTCCCAGGAGACCTCCCACGTGCCGATCTTCATCTCCGTGCAGAGTCTGTTTCCTAGAAATCCAACCGAAGGTACGGGGGCACTGAAAAAGGTCACGGGAGACAAAAGGTGGAATGGAGGTAAAACCCACCCCCATCTCTCAAGTGCCTGCGGGAGCGGAGGCCTGAATGAGCACATGCTCCGATGCCGCTCCCCGTCAACTCTGACGGAGCAGTTTAAACAGACAGGATGGTCAGAAAGACTCAGAGAAGGTAGTGTGCAGGGAAGAGCCTGGGAAAAGGGGAGCAAAGAGGAAGCTTATTCCTAGTAGAATATGAATGTTCAAAAGCCAGGTGGAAGAGAGAAGAGTGGAGTAGGCTTTAGGAGGGGGAGGATTGCTGGAAGAGGGTAAGGGTGAGGGGAAGTCAATATTCACCATAGTTAACAATATTAAAACAGCAACGAGGAAGGCAAGGATTGGAAAATGGCCTGGAGTGACTAGCAGTAGGAGAGGGTGAGTGATGAATGAAGCTCTGGACTAGGGTATTCCTTCTCCAGCACTATCCCCAGTAACATTAAACATCTAGAGTGGAGAACCAGTGGAAATATAATATGTAATTTAAAGCTTTCCATGAGCCACGTTTAAAAAAAAAATGCATATAAAGAAACAGGTGGAAGTAATTGTAATGATATATTTTATTTAATACAGTATATCTAAAATATCATTTCAACATGTGTCAATATGAAAAATTAACAATAAGCTATTTTACGTTTTTTCCTACTAAGTCTTCCAACTCTGGTTATGTTTTATGTGTATTGCACATCTAAGTTCAGACACTACATTTTCATTGGAAATATTCAATGTGCATTTAGATTTCATAATATTTATGGTTGAGGAAATAGATTAACAACCCTATGTTACTGCATACATACTTAGGCTTTCCAACAATCCAATCAAATGGTCAGTTTTAAAATTTGTTTATGTTAATTAAATGAAATAAAGAATCCTGTCCTTCAGTTGCATGTAGCACATCTCAAGTGCTCAGTAGCCACATGTGGCTAGTGGCTACCATATCAGACCACACAGGCCTAGAATTCTAATTCCTAGACCTTTTGATTTTGGCTTTGTTTTGTCCTCACCTTTTATGAAGGAATGGACCTCTTCTCCTATCAGCATTGCACCACTAACAATATCCTAACCTGTTCCATCTTATTTCACAAAACCTACTTGAAGAAGGTGACGGGGAAGATTGAGAATCCACCATCTATGAAAACAGAGATGGGAATTCAGCTTGGACTAGAAAAAGTTTGAGAAAGATGAGGTAAGAGATCGAAAGATTCCATTTTGATTGTTGTTCTGGGGTCATATGAGGAAGGCGGTTTATCTGCCAGGTTGAGTACTGCAGGGATTGAATGGATGGAGCTGTGAGAATGTACAGGACAACTGTTAGCACAGTCTCCCATTTGGCAGCTTCTCATGAGCATGGAGCATTGGCTGAGTCACAAACCTAGGACGTGGCTAAGTCTGGGTCTTGTTTCCTGCATTGGCAAAATGGGAAGAGTAATCCCTTATTTGGAAAAAAAAATGGAAGGGGCTAAGTGAAATCCTTCAGAGGAGAGTTTTAATCCAGTGGAGGCCTACGCCTCTGCTATGGTTTGGATATGGTTTATTTGTCCTCTCTAAGTCTTGTGTTGAAACCTGCTCCCCAGTGTTGGAGGTAGGGGCTGGTGGGAGGGGTTCGATCCCTCACGAATGACTTGGTGCCATTCTCTCAAGAGTGTTCTTGCGGTTAGTTCCTGTGAGGACTGGTTGTTGAAAAGAACCTGGCACCTCCTCCACACTCTCTGCCACCTCTCCCAACTTGTGATCTGCATATGTGGCTCCTCTTCACTCTCCCCCATGAGTAGAAGCTTCCTGAGGCCCTTGTCAGAAGCAGATGTTATCACCATGCTTCCTATACAGTCTGTAGAACCATGAGCCAAATAAACCCTTTTTCTTTATAAACTACCCAGCCTCGGATATTCCTTTATAGCAACACAAACTGACAAAGACATTTTGTGGGCCTGTAGCTCATCTTCTGTCCCTGGCTGGGTGCTGGCAGCTTCTGCTTTTAGGCCATGCTCTGGCACCATTTCCCTGCCTTTATGTCTGATAGATCTGTCAGTGGATGCAGTAGTGATAGAGTTTGTAGACACTCCTTTAGAAATTTAGTAAAAAACAAAACAAAACTTAGACTTCCTTGTTTTTTTATCTGAAATGACCTACATCTATTGCTACTTAATGATACAGTGTAGATCTTGTGAGACCCTGCTCCATGCCAGCACAGGGCCTGATATCCTCTCTACCCAGCAACAGTATCTATATCCATTCCTAGAAATGGAGTCACAGAAAATACCATTTTTTGTTTTGTGGATGGCTACACACACACACACACACACACACACACACACACACAGGACAGTGAGGAGAATGATCTGTTATTGTTGGCATCCCCAGGATATATGGCACATTAACTTGGCATTCAGGTTATACAGTAAACCCTCATAGGTCAGGAACTGTAAAACTTGCTTTTCTCCATCCTCTGAGCACAAGCTTGTCTTTCAAAACAATTTCTAGTCACGACCTAGGAGGGTTGCAAGGAAATGAAGCTACTCCTGCCTCCCTGACATTCATGTTTGGTTAAGCTGCTGTCCTGATATGGCCCTAATGAGTATGCTGTATAAACTCTCGACTGAGCTATTCTGAGGAGGAACAGCTAGGTTCTTGGAGATATTAATAAAAACATTCCCCTCAGGATACACATCAGAGACAGCTAGTCTCACTCAGCCTGCTTCTCCGTCTTTAACATGGAGAGAAACTCCTCTTAAGATTCTTTCTTCTCTCTTAGAGAGTGGAAAGTAGCCTTGGTTTTTTATCCATGTGAAAAATAGAGCTAAAAAGCCATTTTTCAGCATCTGTCTTTCTTCTAGAAGGACTGGGGAATGAACAGATGTAATATTGATCAGCTAGGCTTATCTTTAATGCAGCCTGCATTTGGCTATGAACTTAATGACTGAGCCTGCTGATTTTTGCAATAATACCTGGGGCTTAAGAGGTAAAGAAATGACCATGGAATTGAACCTCACAGTCTCAGGTATAATTCCCATGAGAAAGATGTTACAAGTAGAAGTTTTTCAGCTGTTTTCAGGCATACTTCCAATCATACCAAGAACATTAGTTGCACTAATTAGTGCTTGA